CAACCGTGTACTGTATACACTAGGACTGCAAGCAGTATTTTAAAGAAACAAAATCATTTGCTGGTAGATATATGTCATCGCTCCTGCATGTTTATGTATACGATAATTGATATTCCTAGAGCAAGAAATAGAAATTCTATTTAGCAGGCACAAATTACCAATGATGATGGATAACAGAAATGTAGTAAAACAGAATATTAATGCGAATTTTAACCATGCATACTTATTACATCACATTTTGAAGTATACTCGAGTATACAGTGATCCCTCGGTTAACGAACGGTCCGATTAACGAAATTTCGGTTAATGAATTACCTCCCATAAAGATGTTCAATTCGGTTAACGAACAAAACTTCGATTAACGAAATCCTTACGACATACACGTTTTGTTGTGAGCATCAGCTGATGGGCTAGTCTGCCAATTCAGTAATCTATTCTATGTTTACTTTCGTTTACAGTGGAGTAAATATCAAGAAAGTTGTGCTCTTTAATATTTTTGTATTTTTTTTTGAAATTATAAGTCATTTTAAAATTTAGTTAGCATATTGATAATATATGCAGTACAGGGAACTAGTATTTTGTGCGCCCATCAGCCACTTGATTCACCCACCAGGCGTCAGTTTGGCTTTGTTTACAGTGGATTGAACATCGATTTTGTTGTCTTTAATATTTTTGCATTTTTACATTAAAATTATTGGTCATTCTGAAATTTAGTTAACATATTGATAATATATAGTGCAGTGTTGATTTAAAAAAAATAATCTTGAATTACACTTAGTGAACTTAAAATTTTATTGGTGAAATGAGAAGCATCAAGCATTGGCCCCCTGAAAGGTGATTTCTCCTCCATCTCCACTTCCTTCTCTTCTCCCCTCCACCCCCACTTCTAATTCCCATCATCATCATCAACTTCGAACCTTCTACATACACACCTCAAAGTAAGTGTACTTTACAGCATTTTTATTTATTTATTTATTTATTTTTTTACTTTGTATGTACTTTTCTGTGAGCTGGAACCAATTACCCAATATCCCATTGAAACAATGGATTCAGTTAACGAATGACTATGGAACGAATTGTGTTCGTTAACCAAGGGACCACTGTATATAATATACAGCTGCTCCTCGACTTATGACGGGGTTAGGGACCCAAATCCAGGTCGAAAATGCGAAGATAATACATAGAAAATCTAAAATGGGTGTCTCTTTTTCTTCTCAGCACCACAAAACTCTAACTTTTAAGCATGCCAGCCATTTTAAAGGGAATTACAAGCGCAATCACTAATGCCAGGACTCAAAAATACGTAATTTGACAATTTTGGTACAACTGGGGCGGTCGTAAGTCGAGCAATAGCTGTATACAATTTGCATATATGAACGAATACACATCTTTTAATTGAAGCAAGATGAAATAATTAAGGTAATTTAAGTTTTAATTTCTTTTCTGCTGTTCAGTATTCATTACCATAGCATACAAGATGTGTTTTTGATGGTTGGGGGGAACTGCTCTCATGAAAGAATTCCTCCCATAACTGGCAACTTATACAAATTAATCTGGTTTTGGGAGGGTGTACTGTACAGTACATACACATATAAAATTTAGTCTGATGTAAATATACACTTAAAGTAAACTACAATATTAACACCAGAGACAATAGAGGCAGCATATTGAGTCTAGGTGGATAAATGTGGTGTTGAGTCAGTGAAGGGGGAGCAATCAAGGCTACCAGGCTATGGTCAAGCAACAGAGCCTCATGCTATAACAACACAGCTAAGAGGATAGCTTTTCAAATATTTTGTATAATTGTGTTTTTTCAACGTCAAATACAGTAGAACGTCGATATGACACGAGATACATTCCAAGAGAGGTCGATTTAAACCGAATTCGCACTAAATCGAAGTGTTGTTTCAATGGAATAATTTAGTTTGGTACTTGAGAGAAACGCAAAATACTAAAAAGACTGAGTCAACTCAGGTGCACCTCAGCCCATCTAGAATAAACAAAACAGCCAAGGTCTAGTGCTTATTTATTTATCTGTTCTTAAGAGTGACTGCAAAGTTTTTCTCTTATAAAGTGTCACTGAACTGACACGTTCTAATAAATTACTGTATACTGTATTACAAAGGGCTTAAATTTTTATCTTATGCAAAATATGACATTTATATTCAAATTATTCGCTGTCTTGCAAGGATTCTAGCAATGCAAATTATATTCGCCTAACTTTAGTCTGTGATATTATATAAGATAAAAACTGGAAGCCTAAAACACCAAACCCTGGCTGGGTGGGGGGTGGGAGGTGACAGTGACACCTTTGACAGTTGGGGCTGATGGTCTAGTGAAGTATTTATTTGTTTATTTATGTCCTTTAGATTGAGTTTTTGGTTTGTTTATAAAATGTCTCAGAAGTGACCGGGGAGAATATAATTTATATTGCTGGAATTCTTATAAGATGGTGATTAATTTGAATATAATCATGCTATAGTTTGCACTAGACAAAAATTTTATTAATCATTTATTACATTATTTTGAGTACAAATACAGTACAGCTTTGCCCTGAGGACAGTGTAGCATGCCCAGAGAAACATAAGGCTCAAATTTTAAAATATGATGCGCCAGATTGACTCGCGCAAAATATGAAAGATTCGCTTTCGCTTTAATTTAAAACATTGTCCTTAATTGTGGGTGTCGCTTTAAATCAATAATCTTAAATTGAATCGCTTTAAGTCGACTTTCTACTGTAGTGTAAAGTACTGTGAATAACACTTATGCAAATACTGAATGTTCCCTAATTCATCAACTTTTAATGAAACTGCTATGCGAGGGATACCTGTACAGTACCAGCATCCTTGAAGACTTATTGCTTAATATTTCCAAAGCATTTACTTCTTTTGCTGGAAGTGGTTTGCCACATCTATTTGCAAGAATATTTTTGATATGTTATAAATTCTTCAAGGCATCTGATGGGAGGGTGCATATAAAGTTTTCCTGAAATTTATTTTAAGTTTTCAGCAAAATACAGTAGGTTACATAGCAACCTTATTGGATATTGAATCCACACAATGGACGAGTTGTCAGTCGGAATTTTTTCGTAAGATGGCAGGTCAATGAGTAAAGAAAACTCTTAAATTCACTGTGGTACTGACATTTTTAAATAAATTAGGCCAAAAAGTGTCAAAAATAAGGGTTAAAGTTGCTAAAAAGTCACGTGACTGTGAAAAGCTCTGTGATTGGTTGTGGCGTCACAGGCTGGGGCGAGCCACAGAGCGGGAGGCAGCCAGCTGTAGTTGTCCAACCTTCTCGGCTGATAGGCTCTGTAAATAAATATTATTAGATAATTATTTGTGCTTTACTGTGCAACACAATAATGCTATATTGAATATACAGTATAAATACTACTAAGCACATCAACTAATTCAATGAATATTAGCTGCCCATACTATAAATTTCATAGTATAAACATTCCAAACGATATCAATATCATTGTTATTACTTCTAAATTGACTCGTATCCATCAAGTACTGATACATACCTGTACTTTGTAAATGCAAAGTCTACCAGGTAAGAGTACATGACAGCTGAGCTTGTGTGAACATGTGAGTTTTTTATGTCCATAAGCTGGTTTTCATGGCACATTTCTTCACTTACAAAATGTCCATGACTTGGACCATAAAAAACACCCTTAAAACTTGCCTCAACGTGGCATTTAGGGTCTGAAGAGGCCATCCTTTCTACTACTTCCGACTGCAGCGGTGAGTTTGAAGGTGGTAACGTCATTGCAAATGAGGCCGTTTCTAGAGAAATAAACTTATCTCGACTATTATAGCAGGACTTTAAACTTTTATTACAAATTATATATACCAAATCTCACTCGAATGTGTGTAATTCTTGTGTTTACTCACAACCGTCAACTCGTTCATTGTAGAGAGTATTTACAGCTAGAGATTACACTGTTGTATTTATAATGGATGAGAATCTTGAAATTTAATTTTGTGTACTGTGTCTTTTGCTACCTTTGAACTTTTACCTCAAGGTCAACCATGATGAATACAGTAATAATTTTAAATGGTTGCATACTGTGCATGATTTACCAATACCAGTCTAGTTCTTAATATATACTGTATACAGCTCCTCCCCGACTTACGACGGGATTAGGGACCCAAATCCAGGTCGTAAGTTGAAAATGCTTAAATGATACTGTACATAGAAAATCTAAAATGGGTCTCTTTTTCTTCTCATCGCCACAAAACTCTCACTTTGAAGCTTGACAGCCATTTTAAAGTGAATTACAAAAGAAAATTTTGTCTGTACTAACGTTGGGACTCGAAAATACGTAATTTGACAAAATTTTGGTACGACTGGGGCAGGTTGTAAGTGCGGGTGGTCGTAAGTCAGGGAGGAGCTGTATACAGGTACTCCTCGACTTACGACCACCCGGACATACAATCGCCTCAGTTGTACATTTTATTTTTTCAAATTACATATTTTTGAGTCCCGACGTTAGTTATCGTGCTGTGTACTAACCAAATTTTCGTTTGTAATTCCCTTTAAAATGGCTGGCAAGCGTAAAAGTGAGAGTTCTCGTGGTGCTGAGAAGAAAAAGAGACACCCGTTTTAGGTTTTCAATGTATTATTTTTCCATTTTCGACTTACTACCTGGTAGTTGGTTCCTAACCCCGTCTTAAGTCGGGGGACTGTGCATATATATTTATTTAATTTTTTTTTTTTTTTTTTAATTTTTTTATTATTATTATTATTATTATTATTATTATTATTATTATTATTATTATTATTATTATTATTATTATTATTATACTGTATAAAGATTGCATCATGCATTGTTTTATCATACTAATTGATCATGCTCTAACCTCATTTTCCTTTTACATCCTGTAGCCCACATTCTTATAAGCCCCATGTGCTTTGTGCCTGACAGCTACTGTTTTGTAATTTTATATTATTTGGCCTGTGTTGTGGTCCTAATTATTTGTGTTCTTTTACAGGAAAATGTTTGTTGGTGGATTGTCATGGGAGACAACCCAAGAATCACTGCAACGGTATTTTGGCCAGTACGGGGAGGTCATAGATTGTGTTGTGATGAAAAACAGCGAGACTGGCAGGTCCCGGGGTTTTGGCTTTGTCACCTTTGCTGATCCCAACAAAGTAGACTCTGTCTTGAAGAGTGGACCCCATGAGCTTGATGGACGTACGGTAAGTTAAAATGGGGTCAAAATTCATCCCTGGAGCAGAAGTGAGACATTAGAAGTAACCTCTTTAAAAATCTTATTGACATTATCTTCTTTTTGGGTCTAAATAACAACAATGTGTGTATTTAAGGTTTTATAGTCTTCTGTTTGTCACCTAAATGGAGAAATTCTCATTGTTTTCTATCATTATCATTCATATTTCATGCTGTACACTCCAAAAATTATCTTCAATGATTTTGAGAGACAATAGGACACACTGGACAAAGGATTTTGACAACCCTACCTAGACAACAGGGATCGTGTTGTTAATTTTGAAATTCATCGGACCTCACCTTGAAGTTATATTTTTGGAGCAATTGTACATGTACTGTCATTCCCTTCCACAATAAGGGCCCCCACACACAAGCCTACCTCATGTCCTTCCACAACAAGACACTATCTACCCATTGACTTGACATCCATCTCCAATGATATATGAGGGAATTGTTGAGTCAACATTACTCTATGTGGTAGGCGTGTTGTTTGGCTCCTGGATGCACGAGGAAGAAGCAGAGTAGAAGCTAGAGCATTGCCTTGCCTTAAATCAATATGTGGAGTGAATATTATGCAGAGGTCATGAAATACATAAATTGGGAGGTGGGGAAATGGAAGAATTGTCAGAGGTTTGTCAATTTTTTGCCAGAGTAGTTAAAAAATAATTGATAGTAAAAGATTACAGTCATGTGTATTCAATACTGTCAGAGATGGGGAATATGAAAACGTCTGAAGGATGCATTATAAATGGGGGGATGGACATCCAGGAAGCATTGGAGTGCATTAATGATGTACAGCATGCCCCTGTAGCATAGTGTATGTGGCCAATAGTCTAATTTCTCTCTGTTTGTCTATTTTCTCTTTGTTAGGCTCCCATAGATATGCACATATAGGAGATCTCTCACTAAGGATGGAGGTGAGAAAGGAAACTCACAATGGTATATATATATATATATATATATATATATATATATATATATATATATATATATATATATATATATATATATATATATATATATATATATATATATATATATATATATATTTATGTGTGTGTATGTGTTTACAGACCAGTCTGGTGCTGGGAAGTTGCTATGTAGTAGAGGAGTTCCTGTGGAGGAGGTCTTCTCTGCTTAAGAGCTTGGTGTTGTCTGACCCTCACGGCGAGGCATTGGGTATTTATATTATTCTGCTGGATGAAGATGAGAAATGCTGCTGATTGGCTAAGATGAAGGTAGTAACTGACCAATTAACCGCGCAGTTCGAACGCGAGGGTTGATTTGTGAAACTCATCACTGATTGGCTGGTAAGCCGACGGCAAGTGACCAGTCAGCAGTTGTAGGGAAGAATATCCACTACACCCTTACAGTTCAGGGATTTTTAATTCGCGACCTTTGATTATTGGCGGATGACACCCAAGAATGTCAAAGGGGAGTTTTATAGTTAGCACTTTCACGGCAGGGTCGGGGAGTCCGTTAGTTTTATGGCGTCCTGCAAGGTGTCTCTTGTCCCAGGTGGCTGGGCCATGTGCATTCACTCCGCCTCAGTTACAGTCCGGGTTAAACACTTATCCGTCTCATGGGTGTGCAACTGTGCTCCTTGTGCTTGTGATGGCTCCCAAATGCCCTCAACCACCTTCATCCAGCTGCGGGAAGGTGCCCGAACAAGTGAAGAGAGAAAAGGTCATATATTTCTCCTGTACATACACTTGGCAACAGGAGCGGGTAAGGGGAGTGAATAATCCCTAGTTAAGTGTTGTCTGCAGTTGTAACTCACTCCCTGCCATATTTCACTGGATTTATTGTTATTATTAGTGTTTACTGATAGAATAGTAATTAATCATGGCATTGTAGCTAGATAAGCTCATCATTGTAACCACCAGGCCAAGCTGTGAGGTGTTGTGGTTTTTTCAACTCGTATTTTTGGGTAGATATACATAACTTTTCTTCATTTATTTATACTAGTTTACATGCACACACAATCCTACATACATATTGTGAAAAAAGGTAAAAGAAATAATTGTCCTAAGGGCAAACACATAACAGTCACAGAGTAGCTTGTTGTGAGCTGATCTTTGTTGCATGTACTATGGTGGAGTAGGTAGTGTAAACAAATGGAAACTGTGTTAAACTTTCATTTGGCTTTTGTTTACTGGTTTGGAAGTAGTATTTTTTTTATAGCTGATTTGTTGTTATTATTTTTATTTATTCCTCACATTTACTGGTACTGTACAGTATATATTACTTTAAGAAAACTATGGCTATGAGGTGTCATGGTTGTTTTTCATCTCGTATATTTTGGGTAGATATACGTAACTTTCTTCATTTATTTTTACTAGTTTACATGCACACACAATCCTACATACATATTGTGAAAAAGTATACAGTATTACACCACATTTACCGGCATCCTTCACGTTGGGTTGGCTAGATGGCCACGAAAGAAATTTTGCAAGTTTGATCTACGTATCAACCCAGCTGGTGCTCAGATACCATTCGTTCTAGGGACAGTAATATTTACGCGGAAAAAATTTCCGTATGGCAACCCAACCAACCCAACTTTAATAAAGCATGATGAAGTTGACTTGAGGGTAGTCTCGCATTTTTTTGTACATTGTGATATATTTTGTTGTTTTGTTTCTTATTCATTGTGAGAGGATTTATCCATTATTATTTATTTGTATGTGTTTTGTGTGTGTGGCTACACACATACAGTACAAGTAAAAGACATAATTGTCCTAACGGCAAACAAAGGGAATGTACTGTACATTTCTAGTCAGCAAATGATATTCGTAGTTTTGGCATTTCACGGCCATTTTGAGACACAGACCCCTGTGAATTTTAAGGCATGCTGTACAATCATGACATTGAATGCATTATGAGGATGTTAAAAGAGTGAAGGGAACTGGATAACAGTAAATGAGTAGAGCGTTGTGTTGTGTCTTGTTTTGGTTCTGGTAATACTACTGTTACAGGGGAAAGCTTGCAGGAATGAAAAACAAACATGATATTGGTGTGAATGTACAAAATTAGAAAAATTAAAAACTCATTACTACTCTGGGAGTCACTTGATGTCTTAGTAACAGTAGCATATGCTGACGTGTGTGTGCAACAGGCAATTTGTAAAATACCCGAGAAAAATGTTCCATGTGATATCCTATAATGTGATACAGTAAGTATACAGGGTGATTTAGCAAAGAGTACATTAAATTGGAGGATGAAATCCTTGGATAGTTCTAAGCCACAATGTCTGGTAAAATGTCAGATTCTGCATAGTTTCCATGTTACAACACATTTAAGATGTATTAATGAGAGTGAATTTGAAGTGAAAACCCCCATAAGTTTTTGTAATCATTTATTCACAGATCTCTACAGTGTGACCCCTCTTTGTTACAACCTAAAGGAAATGTTCAAAGTTGCCCCCTTCTGCCTCAATGCAGGCCTGTACAAGTCGTACCATTGATTGTCTGACTCGTTCCAGAATGCCTGGACTATGTTTAATTTGCTCGCACCTGTCAGGAACACGTGGGCACATGCAGAATCTGACATTTTACCATAGAGACATTGTGGTTTAGAATTATACAAGGATTTCATCCTCCAATTTAATGTACTCTGCTGAATCACCCTGTATATGGGGGGTATGGTTATGTTACATTAGAATAAATATATACAGTAGTACCCGCTTAACGCGGTCAATAAAACCCACAGGGTACCATGTTAAGTGAAAACCACAGCTAAGTGAACAACAGAACATATGGGATTAATTCCAATAGAAACTGGCCCGACCCCCAAACTCCACTTTTTCACAATACCTATGTTCTAGTAAAAATAACATCTTAATTTTATGATGGTACATGCACACAATTAATACTTAAGAGAAATAGAGAAATACAGTCGCCAAGTTAATGTCCATTCAAATAATGGACTCAACTCCCTCCCCCTCTTCTCACACTACACTCACTGGCTCTTCCCTCTGAGAAATTTTTGGGGGAAAACCACTAAATTTTAATAAATAATACCTCAAACTAAAGTTAGGATAATACAATTGACATTGCTGGATTCCTTGTAAGACCAGGAATATTTTGAATATAAATGTCATATATTTTGCACAAAAGATAACATTTACTCAGAGTAAACATTATATCTAAAATTTGTATGTCTAATGCAAAATCTATAATGTTTATATTCAAAATGATCACCAAATTGTAAGAATTCCAGCAATATAAATTATATTCTGGCCGGGTAATTTGTAGGAATTTTTTATGAGCTAAAACAAATATCTTCAGTTAATAAAAAAAAATATTCTTCCCGACACTATCTGTCAATCAAAGTACCCCACCTTGCCTCCCCCCCTCTTCCAACCCGGGCCAGATGGTTGGTCATTCCCAACCCTCCCCCCACCAATCCTCCCTTCAAGAGATGTTGGGTGAAAAAACTAAATTTTAACATTTAGTATTAAATAATACCTCAGATTAAAGTTAGGATAATATAATTGACATTGCTGGATTCCTTGTAAGACCAGGAATATTTTGAATATAAATGTCATATATTTTGCACAAAAGATAACATATTTACTCAGAGTAAACATTATATCTAAAATTTGTATGTCTAATGCAAAATCTATGATGTTTATATTCAAAATGATCATCAAATTGTAAGAATTCCAGCAATGTAAATTATATTCTGACCGGGTAATTTGTATGAATTTTATGAGCTAAAACAAATATCTTCAGTTAATAAAAAAAAAAAATATTCTTCACATGGTAACAGATGGTCGGTCGGGCCCTCCCTACCAGATGTGTGGGAAAACCAGAATATTTACCTTTTTAGTAATAAATAATACCTCAAACTAAAGTTAGGATAATATAATTGACATTGCTGGATTCCTTGTAAGACCAGGAATATTTTGAATACAAATGTCATATATTTTGCACAAAAAATAACATATTTACTCAGAGTAAACATTATA